AAGAATATTTGCCTTTCACTCAAAGTACCAAGGCAATGTGCGATGGCTAGAGTGATTTGGATCTGTTCAGAAAAGGACCATGTATCCTGGCTTAATTACTGCGTTTGCTGAGAAGAAGAGGCGGGGGGTAAAAGGAAGTTAGAGAAGGTTTCCCCCAATCGAACTGATTTGATTGTGGGCCGACTCGTTTAATGCAATATTCCCCATAAAGCTGCCTTTGTGGGTGAGTGTGCCAGTGTCCCCACTGTATGCGGGTCCTTTCAAAAACTTTGTAAACCGGTCAGGGATATCCTTGTCATACAGCACACACAGCCAGACAAAAGCAACAAATTAAACTGTTCCTATTTGCAAATGAATTGTGCGTGGCGTAATTTCGCAGAAAACTTTCTATGGGATAAGGCAGGATAGATAGACGGGATCGGGATGGTTTGCACAAGGCACACACGTTCCTTCCGCTTGAAATAAAATAAGTAGTATAATACAGAAGGCAACTTGCCTGGCATCGAAATTGAAATGAAAGAAAAGGATTCTTGAGAAAGACAAAAAAACCCCTTTGTATCTCTGCTGATATCTCTTTGTGCGTGTTCGCAGGACTACGGTGTGTGTCTGTGTTGGTGTTTGTGATTCTGGCGTCCTGGCTGTAGGAAACTTTTTGTGAGGGCTCAGGTCCTTTCTGGCGTTTCATACGCTCAATTGCTGGTGGTTAGCCGAGCCCGTCTGCGTGTTCTGGTCGACAGTCAATTGAAAATGAAATTGGTAAAAGTTAGCAGGAACAGAAAACAGAACCCCCGAACCCAAAACCCCAAAACTCTTCTCTGTGCGTTAGAGCATCTGTTCTTTTGAGATGATGCCGGGGGAATGCAGGATTACGTGCGGACAAGCATGCATAATGAGCCCCACGATCCCTTTTACCTGGATGCGGGTTACCTTTTGCAAATTAATACTAAAGAGACGCGTAAAAGTATGCAACGCCAAGTAGCAAACCATCTACGTGCCTGCTGCATGGGTGTCCTTTCTGGTTTCTCTGTTCCCCACTGAACTCTGGTGTTTTTTTTGTACTTTTCTGTTTTTATGAATACTTTTCGCTACTTTACTCTTTGATCGTAAACAAGAACAAAAAAATACATACGAAAAGTTGCTTTGTTTGGCGCATATTTCATCAATGGACACGTCCTGCTGTTTGGAATTTTTATAGATTCCAGTTTTGAGTGCATTTGCTTGTTGCGTTGACTACGCACATTCTCCTACAATTTTGTTTGCTTTGTCATTTTTTTACGATTTATCAGCGAACATTTTGTCTCACACACCCACTTTGTGACAGATTGTTGAAGATTAAGTTTGGCGCGGAGTGGAGACTCCCAGGGTTTATGTTTGCCAAAAGGGATTATCGGGGAAGTCTCTTAGTGGGAACAAAATATGTGTTTAGTTCGCAGTATGGTGGAGATAATTGAAAAACGCTATAAATTTGTTTATTTCATGTTTCCCTGCTGTGTATTAAGTTTAGAATACGAAAATTCTTAGCACTCTTTCAACTACCAAAAAACTTTAAAAAAAATTATAAAATCTTTAAGACGTTTTTAATATAAAATGTTTTTATATAAAACATTTTTAAATCAACTACAATTATTTAATTAATATTGTTAAACAGCCCACAAAGTTTACAGGTTTCTTATTAAGACAAAAAGGAAGTAATAAAACTAAAATGATAAATCAAGTTCACTTAACATTCGATTTCAAAATACCATAAAATCATTAAGTACTTGGTGTTTTAATAGAAGAATTAAAACCGAAATTAAAAATAACATATTTAAACCAAAATTCAAATGTCATTAAATTTAAAAGAGAATTTTACTTTTTACAAATATTTTTTAAATCCTGAGAATGAATAAATTGTCTACAGGAAAATCGTGAGTTTTTTGAACATAAGCCTTCCTTTTAATCAGTTAAATTGGTTTGCCATTGTTATAATGAAAAAAAAACACTTTTAATATTTCTTACGAATAAGTTTTAAAAAATGTTTTTAAATATACTTACATTTTATAAAATTTCATACCGAGAATAATCAGTCATCATTTGCAACACCTTTTTAGACATCTTCTCAGCACATCTAAAAATTTGAGAAAGAAAAAATTCTTTATTAAAAAATCTTTTAAAGTAAAATCTAATAATAATTGAAGAATTTAAAATATTTTCATTTCATCTGTTCTGTCACTTTTTTCCCTTGATTTCTGCGGCGAATTTATGGCCCAGCTAATGCTGTTTGCCTTTCCATTTGCCTAATTTTGTTTGCATTCGATAACGGAGACATTTTTTCCCTTTGCAATTCAAACTTTTTAGGTCTGAAATGGGCAACAAATGCAATTGACGTTTTTTTGTTCTAGCTTTTTCCTGAACTTTTATGCAAATGCATTTTGATATCGAACATTTTCATCTGGAATTTGATGTTAGTTTTTGCTGAATTTCTCCCAAGCGAATATCCATGAATACGCCTATTGGTTTGGCAGAGTATTTAATCCTAATAAATGGTGTCCTGGTAATTGTTTGTCAATAGTAAAAGCAAACAATAGGTTGGTCAGAAATAATTAAATTCCCTTATTGTTGTTTGAACGTTTTTGGTTTGGCCTGATTTAAAAGTAAACTCACTTGTAATCGATTTGAATTTCACTTTATAAGTTCTTTTTTTTTTTGGGAAATTTGTTTGGTTTTGTTGTTGGTGAAATGACAATCTGGAAGGGCTCTGTATTATTCACCAGGCACTTTCATAAATTAATCAGCAGCAGTTTTATGATTATTGCTCTCTAATTGCATTTATTGTGTGGTTGGCATTTTACCGACTATCCCGCAGCTCCTTTATTATTTTCATTGGCATTATTAGCAAAGGCACTCGCACACACAAAAGAAATCGCACATAAAAATTTATTACGCCACGCCTACCACTCTAACACCTCCCCACTTGTTCCACGTTAAAGCCGCATAAAAATAAATAAAAATCCAAGAGAAAGGAGGCACCAAAAAAAAAGACATAATTTCTTTGTTCTTTGGATACTTACAGGATGAGCAACAAATGCAGTTCATCGGCGAATCCCCCTTCATTTCCTTGGCTTTTTTTCTGCTTTTGGTTTTTCTGAGTTTTTCCCACGGTGACTACTGTGTCGTTTACATATCGTTTTTGGCCCTCATCTCCTTTTTCTGGGCCACGTTGGGATGTCTAAACGATTTACGACACTTTTGCCAACTGCCTGACGCACACTTTTGCAATATTGTTTGTTTGTAAGTTTGTGTGTGTGTGTGTGCGTGTGTGTGCGGGGGCGAGTGTCTGTGATATTAGCATTAAACAAAACCCGCACACACACAGAAGTTAACTTGGCCAAAAGGCAACACAAAAATGCCGCACACGTTCATTTTTATTATGTTAAATGTCTCCTGGGGCCTCGAACATCAGCATCTGCAAGTTCTTGTTTCCATCTGTTTGGTTGCTTTCTCTTTTCGCCCTTCTACATTGCTGTTTTATTTTTTTTTGTTGGCTTTTGCTAACTGTCACTTGGCTTGTCACATTTCACATTCACTTAGACTGCAGGATTAAAGCGGGAGCGCGCCAAAAAGTATGCTACCCAGTCGAAATTAGCACAGGCAATTTCTCGCTTTTTGCTCGAATTCTCTGCTCTGATTGGGTTTGCTGCGAGCGATATCCTAGCAGCCTGGCAGTGCGTCCTTTTAGCCGATTTCAGCTTACTGCCCGCCGCTCCAGTTGAAACTGACGACTGGCTAACGACGGTCAAAGTCGATGGCGGGCTTTTCGTGCGATTTCGTTTTTCACCTTCGGCGGTGAGTTCGGTTTTGCTTTTAAAAATTCCGAACATTTCCGATTTATCCAACTTGAAAGCTCATTTTCCCATCTCGTCCGAATCTCTTTTTGAGTGAGTCCTCGCTGAGAAGGACTGAGCTGATTTAATCTTATCTCTGGTAGTTCTCTTAGTCTCGAAATTGCACTTTGAGTTGAATTTTAAAAAGATGTGATGAGCAGAACTTCTCTGTTGAGTTGCAGGCATTATCTGTTAGCTTTGAGTGGTGTAAAGGCGTTTACAGAGCTCAGTTTTAACAGTTTTCTGGGACTCTGCTAAAAGCATTGCATATCTCAGCTGTCATGGCTTGTAAATGTTATTTTGAGTTGAGTTGAAATGAAAACGTTGAAAGTTTGCAGTGAGTGTTTCAGTGAGTTCTAATATCTAAGAGAATTGGCTGCTGTTATGGAAGGCAAGGCCTCAGTATTTAGCTCACTGTTAGAACAGCCAGCTCTGTTAACTAACTGAGTCTTTTTTTAATTTAAAAATTTATGAGTAGAATTTGAGACTGAAGATTAAATGACTTTTCTTATGCTTCAAATAAAATATAAAGGCCGCTTTTAAAAAATAATAATATTTGTTGTAATTTTATGTAAAACCTAGAAAGTAAAAATGAGACTGCTTGGTAGACAAACTTATTTGGGAAATGTTTTTAAGCTGCGAACTAATAAAATAAATTTAAAACAAACTGTTTGGAAACATATAGTTATTAAAAACATGTTAAAAGGTTTTTCGTTTATTGAGAAATCTTTTGAGTTAAATTTAAGAGCTGAACTCGAACTCCACGTTAATGGTAAACTCTTCCTTAACATTTTGAGCTCTAGAGCTCATTTTAGTTGAAATAAAAACTCACTCGGATTCTGATGCTCTTAGCATTTACCCTAGCAGTTTTCAAAATGAGCTTCTTTCCTTGAAAAACTCAATGTTGAGTAGATGACAACGTCCATCTCTCCTTCATCTCCGACAACTTCGGGCTGGCGAAATTAGCTCGGCCTTTTCTCTCTCTGTTGAAAATCCACCACACAGAGCTCGTTCGGGGCATCATCGTGCTCGCTGAAGGAGCCTTCGGGTCGAGTGGCGACACACAAACGCACACACTTGACTCGAGGAAAAACACGAGCACGGCAGCTCCTAGCCTTAGCCAATCGTAAAAGTTTTGTACGTATTTAGTACAATTTCGGGATTTGGCAGGATGTAACGAACGTGTAAGAAACAGAGCGCGTCCTCCTCAGCCGTGTGTGCGATAATCGAACAACAAGCAACGCGACAACAAATTCAATATTCATAATAAAAAAAATCGTAAAAAACCTAACAATCGCTTGAAAGCAGTTTTCAAGTGATATAACAAAAAATAACGTAATTATAAATGAAATAGCAAAGAAAAATCAGTTGGAAAATCCCGGCAAAGTGATTTTTTAGCCAAGTTAACCAGAAACCAAATCGTCGAAGTCTTCGGCTTGCCTCGGTTCAATCCCTCTCGCCCCCGCCTCTCCTTCCTACACTCGTATGTGTACTTGTTTTTGTGAGCGTGCTTAGCCGCAAGCCGGTTTTAAATAAGAAATTTTCCTATAATTATACCACCCACCCAAAGGATGTGGGTTAAAATTCGCCATGAAACATAATTAACGAAGAACAACAACTGAAAAGGCCGCCGATAATACCCTTGGCTGGATAAATCGGTAAAATCTAAAGAGAAGAAAAATTAACAGAGATCTTTGTGTGCGTGTGTGTGGTGGGCCTTTGTGTGACCTGGAATTTTCTTATGAATAACGATAAGGTCCTTATCGCTTTTGGCCCAGCTAATAAGAAACGCCAATCTTGTTCTCCATTCGAGATGGAGATTGAAACGATTGCCAAGGAAGGGAAAGGAATATCCTTGTTGGTGTCCCTTCCTCATTCCTTTCTTCGGTAATAGTGTCGTTTCCTTTATTTGTCCTTTTATGTTTACCTTCTTTTTTTTGCTGGGGTTTTCCCCAGTTTCCTCGTGGTTTGGCTTAGTTTGCTCGCACACAATTGAAAATTCAATTGATTTACAAAATGAAGTTTACTGGTTGGGACGACAGATACTTTTTATCTATTTTCATTTGCAGTTTTACGAGCGACTAGCAAGTTTTTTCCCTTCAGCCTGACTTGGTTTTGGCCTTAAAGCGAAAACCGTTGGCAATTTTTCACAGTTCTTTTTCGATTGAGGTCCTGGTTTGGCTGTTTTTTTCTTTTCTTTTTTTTGTGCAGTTTTGGTGCGAAAATAACGCTGCGTCCTGGAAGGATTGTTGTGGCTGATGTTTTCGTTGGTTTCCGATTCGGGTGTGCCGAGTGTGTGTTTGTGATTGGAGCGGCCTAAAATCGTTTTAGGACCAGCTGCGAAGTGATTTTCAGCTAAGGAAAAAAAAGAAACTAAAAAGGGACTGCAGTATTTGTGTGTGAGTGTGTGTGTGTGTGTGTGTGTGGAGGGAGAGTGGGCTCTGCAGATTGACATAGTTATGTTCTCAGCGAGTAATGGGAAATCCTTGGCACGAGCTCAAGAAAATTTAAGTTTCCTTCTTTTAGGCTGGTCTTTCAAGTGCTGTGTTAGTTTTTATTTCAAGCTTCTATGTCAAGCAGGGTTTATTTTTATACATTTCTTGGTTAGCTAGAATATTTTTAAAGATTTCAAGATTGTTCATAGTGCGAAGATCTTTTTTGGAATGCTTTTTAATTTCATATTTTCCAACTGAAATTTAATCTTTAAATACTTTCAAAGTACATTTTAAAAGCACTTTTAAATCCAACAACATAAAACATAATAATTTTCCTTAACTGCTTTGGCAAGTACTTACCGTATTTTTTGAGTATGAACTTCAAGCCTTCGCCTGCTATTATACAACCCAAGTCAACCTCAAATGTCTCTCACCACTTGCCTCGAGGAACTTTCCTCGTTTTGGTGTCAAGTGTTTTTATTAGAACCGAAAAGCGAAAGGAAGAAATATAGCTGACAAGGGCGGGGGAGTGTACAAATTTTCTTTTCATTCCAACCAAACTTGAAACGAGAGGTTGAGAAGTTCGAAACAGAAACGTTTTTCCCCAAGTCAGTGTAAAATAATACGCATACGTCGTGTATGACGAATTCCTTAAATAGATTGCATATTATATACCCCAGCTATTCGTTGGGGACAATCAGATATCATAGGATCTTGTTGTCAACGACTATAACATTTGAAACCAATGGCTAATTTATGGCCTGCATTAGCCTAATTGAAATTATACAACTTGATATAATATCATTTGTTAGGCCTCATAATCATATGGGGTTAATTAGGTGCTGACCAAGTTGCGATAACTATGCAATTTGCTTTAATTATAATAACATGTGAATGGTTTTAGTACATGAGAACATTAGATGGATAAGCAGCGAAGTAGAACTGCAATTTCTCATTGAGATTTGCTAGAAGGAATAGCTACTAAATACCTGACTTTTATGGGCCTGACTTAAAAGTGGCTCTCTTCTGTCTGTTCAAATAGCGTTTTACCAACCTTTCGTAATGCCATGGATGGCTTTATAGTATATAAATTTATATATATATAGCAGGCCGATCGGCCACACCCTCGCTTTTTCCGGTTGTTGTTGACGTTTACAATTTGGTGTTGAAAACTTCAGCTGGAAATTGGGTAATACTCGCGATGATGGCGTTGGTGGGTTGGATGACTGCAGCAATCCTGCATTAAGTACCCTCCTGTGAGTGTGTGCTCTGTCTGTGCTGTGTATGTGTGTATGTATAAGTGAAGGGGGTTTTGCAACAAAGAAATTTTAATTTATATAGAATGAGTTTGGGGGCGGTGCAGTACAGCAGTATGTCAGTTTCCTACCCACTCCTGCAGTCGTCGTCAACATTCCGATGTTCGTGTTCTGTGCTCACAGTGCACTCACTCACTCATCCACTCACTCACATGCACAACCAAAAAAAAATCCAATTATTTTAAAACTTTTGACAACTGCAACAACAACAACAACATCAGCAACAACAATAACTCCAGCAGCAAGGCGATGTGAGGCTATGAAAACAATAAGAAAGCTGAATGAACAGCCAGCCAGAGGCAACAAAAACAATATATAGGAGAAAGTCGAAAGTCCGCAAAAAATCAAGCAGAAAAAATGAGAGTGTGAGTGGTTGAAAAGGGTTGCCAGCCATTATAACTTCACTTGAAAAGTTTAATTGATTTTTACAAGTGCATATATATACATATATATATATATATATAGAGTGAGAGAGAGAGAGAGAGAGTGAGTGCGAGGTGAGATAGAAATACATAAGGATAGGGCCTACCTGGAATCGTGATTTTTATTTGATTTTTTGTAGCTGTTCGTTTGTTCGTTCAGTTAAGTGGGTCTATAACTTGGTGTAAACAAAGTAGATGCAAAAAGGGGTTTCAGAAGGGTAGAAAAGAAATCAAAAGTAGCTTTGCCACCCCTCTAGGATTGAGGTGCAAATTTGTTAGGCTGCTACAATTGGTTTGGCTTTTATAGTTTGTTCAATTCTTGCCTGACTTTTCGGTTTTTTCATTTCTATTTCTACATTTTCCACCCTTCTGTTGACTGCTAAAACTGACTTTTTAATTGCTGCTGAGTGTGGTCCTGTTACTGTAATTATTGGGTTTGCCTTTGAGGGATTTGCTTTTAGGTGATTGCCTTAATGAGTCCCCCACGTTAGGCGAAAGAACTCGGAACCAATGCACTTTACTGTGATTAACTTTCGTTTCGGGAACAAAGAGTTTGACTTCTTGGTTTTTCATTTTACAGCCAATTAAGGTGACATCTCAAATTGGATTTCCCATATTATGGTTTAAGAGAAGTTGCCTTGTTGTTAGGCAAATTACTCAGAAAAAGCTTGATTCTAGAAACTTGTACGGTATTTTCTTTAAAAATTAATTTTATATTTGCTATTTCTTTGATTTAACATCAGAAATTATTGCTTTTACAATTTTAAAGCATTGCAAGGCTATTTGGAATTTTGTTTGCTTTGCTTAGAGACAGAAAAATATTGTTAAAAATATATTTGTTGTTGAATTTTGCCAGCTAAACGAGTTCAACGGATTTTCCACTTCTCCCCTTTGGCCACAAAAACCGCACACAAAGGTCTCTGACAATTTAAGCCAGGTCGACAGACTTTTATCCTTAACAATTGTTTCTTTTTCTCTCCCCCCTCCGGCTCTTCCCTCTTTTTTTCCAGGAACACAACCGGCAAACTACGACAAGAAAAAAAAAAAAAAACATAAATCAATAAGAGAAAAGAATAAACTGCATATCTCAGATTATATTTTAGATATAAATGATATATACATGTATAAGAGTTATTTAAGTATTAAGTTCAGGCTTAGGCAGGTAAATGTATTTTGGTCAGATAAGTAACAACAGCTTCCCTCCACATGGTAACCATAAAATGATGCGACGACTGTAATTGGATTTGGATAAATCGGAACAACTTGCAACAAATACAAAATGTCGACAACAATCAATATGTGTGATCAACAACGACAACAATTTTTACAACCGAATGCAACGTGACGACAACAATTGCAAATTGTAATAATAATATTTATAACGCATACGACATGTTGCTTTCGTCATGCCAATAATGATGATGACATCGCATTTACTAACACGTCTTGTAATATCCGATGATTTTCGGCTTTCGAAAATGTATTTAACGAACGATTGATCGAAACACTAATAACTACCAACTACGACTACAAAATATTATAAAAAAATCAACAAATTTTACACACACAAACACCTTCACTATCCCCACAACAAAAAACAACCCACACTTGTGTTGATTTTTCCTATTGACTTTTTGTACTGGCAACTGCAGCAAAAGCTTAAGTGCCATTTGGCGAAAGAGTGAGTGAGTCAGTCAGCCAAAGAGTAAGTCTGACAGAGACATAGCCTGTGTAAATAAAACAACAACAAAAACAAAAACAAAAACAAAAACGAAAGCATTTAAAATTAGTTATTGTTGTTAGCAATTGTCGAACACCCCAATTTCCGGCGAAAATATATACAATAATGGGTCTGCAGATGACAGCAGCCAGTCCTATTGCAGCTTCCAGCCTATTTGTGTTGTTCTTGCTCACCTGGAACCCCACGAACGTCGATGCAGCCCGTAAGTATTATCATTCTCCAAGGAACTGAACTCTTTTTTTCTCTTCTCTGAAGAAGAAGACACCCAACTTGACATTTTATTTTTGTGGCATATTTATGCCGCCACTTTACACGCAAGTTAGCCTAAGTTTACGTTAAGTTCGCTCTTAATTTTCAACATTCTTGCCTTGCGAGCTCAACTTTCAAGTGGAGTTGAGTTTACTTGGATTTCAGGAAAAAGTTCGTTCGGCTCAAGTGCTAAAATTAACTTGGACGAGCATAATATTTATAAGACTCAAGCATTTGAAAATTGAAGAAAAGAATTTTAATCAGTTGAAGCTCAAATTAGCCAAAGCGGAAAGTGAGGTCGGGGGAAAAGGCATCTTGAATATTTTTAATTAAAAGAAAAAGGAGAATGACGAGCAAAGGGGTTCTAGCCAATATTGCTCTTTAATTTACTTAACTAATAAGCGCTGAGGGTAATCTTTTAGCTTATTGACAGCATTGATTCATTTCTCAATGAGATTAAACCTAACTTTTTACCTTAAAAATCAAAGATGATAGCTTTTTTAGAAGATGAACTTTTTGTTACTAAATAATATCGTTTATTAGCAACCTTTAAATCTAAGGAGTTCTTAACAGAAAACGGCACACATTTGATGAGTTTGATGTAGGCAAAGCAACTTTTTAAAATATTTCCCGAAAAAGAACCCACATCCAACCCTAGAACTCCTCTCATTCATCATACTTTCTAATTAGTGATCAGAAAATGTCATATTTTGCTTTGCTTACATTTCGAATTCAATTACCAATTCCTTGCCCCAACCAAGTCCGCCCCCGGTGGAAGCCATTTTCGTCACTTAAGAGAAAGGAAAAACAAATAACAATCAAAGTGTTGACATTTCAGAATTGCAGTCAAATGTGGCTCATATTTTGCGCCAAGGCCTTTTGTGGAAGTGTCGAGGCTGACTTGTGCCTCCTGGCGCTATCCACTCGCTGTGGCACTTACCTTTCATAGACGCTTCATTTCATTTTCAGAGAGGCGAGAGAGGGGTTTCTACATCAGAGGGTAAGGGGAATATAAAGTACGGGAATGGAAAATGGGTACGTGGAGCGATAAACAACAAGCTGCAGGGGACAGAGTCAGAAAAACAGGCAACACAAACATTGCACATCCTGATGTATTTTCTGGTTTTGTTGCCTTTTTATTTGTTGTCGTTACTGGGTAGCCGTATGCTTTTGCTTTTCCCTGGTTTTTCCCTGCTTTTTCCCATGGTTAGCCTGCAGTTTGCAGTTTGCAGCTTGCAGTTTGTCGCACCTCTTTTTGTGTATGTGGCATTAAATTGAAATTTATGCGGCACTTTGCCGCGTGAAATGTTTGTACAACTCGTTGCGGGTTGCGGCTTGCTGATGTTTTTTTTTTGTTTTTTGGTTTTTTTGCTTTGTTTTTAGTGCCGAAGCTCTTCGGGCGTTGACAGACCGACAAACTGTTGGACAGCAGCATTGCAGGGGAAAGTATCTAAAAACATATGCAAAACTGTTTGCTGTTTGCCATGTAAATGGTTTTTGGCCTCCTCATTTCTGCCTTTCCCTTAGCCTTCCTTACCACCGAAACTCCACCCACTTTTAGCCAGCTAATTTGTCGTTTGTTGGGAAATTATGACACTAAAGCCCCGCTTGGCAATTGGCGACTTAACTCAGCTCTGTTTCGGTGCTTCTGTGTCCAGCTCCGAAAAATATATATTATATTTCACGCAAAAAGGGAACTTATTTCACTTTTGGTTTTTGCAACAAGTTTTAATTAATTTGCCGCAACTCCAGGCTCCTCCAATGCTCCAATCTCTTGCTTTCCTTTCATTCCACTCATCAGTGGCATACAACAAAAAAATAAAACGATGGCGGAGGAAAAAGTTGATGCTACGATAATTTGAAAAGTTTTCGTTTAGACAGCAAGCGCGGGCAGCAGCAAAAAAAAAAAAAAAAGAAAATAATGTAGGGAATGTGGAACAGCAAATGTCAGAACACGGCCTGGGAAAATCGCTTCCTAAAACTAAAGGCGAATGGCACTAAACTATATGTGCTGCGTACACACCCGTAACACCCATTACACCCATCACACCCATAACACCCACATATATATATGCTCTATTAAGCCGCAAATAAATGCCGGGGCCATAATTAACATATAGCAAAAGTTTTACCTCATCCTGAGCCATCCTGAGTTAAACTACGCGGAGGGCGGAAGAGTGTCTAGATGAAATATGGTTTAAGTCGATTTTCGGTCGTGTTTGCTTTTGTGGGTAAAAGTAATCCGAAATTGATAACTTTCGGCTTGATGGAGTTCGCCAAGCGAAAGGTAATTAAACAGCAGACGTGAGAGTAATCGGTGGGGCAAGGAAACATTCCAATCACAAATCAATTCCAAAACTTTTCAAATAGATTTATTAATTTTGTTGTAGTTAGTTTTTGTCTTCTTATTTTGGAAAGACTCAATTAGAAGATGTCTGTGGGTTGATAAGAGTGTTTACGTTGACTAAGATCAGGTTTTTCTGATGTGAGTTTAGGGAAAATCTTCGAAATACAGAAGTAAGTCACTGAAAAATAGAACTTTTGATCTTACAAGTAGCAAGTAAACAGAAGACCTATCACCAAAAACAAACTGAAAACGCCTATCCATTGTTTTCCTGGCATTTAAGTAAATGGCAAAATGGCAAAACAAATGCGTGTGCAACTTGCTAATGCCGCATATCATTATATTAGCAAACATCGCATATAAAAATACTCACGAAACGCATATATCTGAGTTCTTCAACAATAATAATGTCCTGGCATTTATCACATTTTTTCCGCTGTAGTCCTTGCTGCCGGACAAGTGACCAGCTAAAGTGGCTCTAAAATTTCAGTGCCCAAATGAGTGGAGCAAGCAGCATTCCCCACACCTCCCACTTAGTGGGTTACAAATATATATATAAAAAAAAGTAACGAAACGACGGAAGAAAAGACGGAATGAAAGAAAGATAAATAAATGTTGGCAACAACAAAGAGCAAAGCGCCATAAATCTAAATAACAAATTTTTACGAGAAACGAGACCATAAATAAGATGTTTGTTGCGGCCTAGCGCAAAAATAGTGTAGAACTGCGAGAGGGGGGAAGGGGGGTCAGGGGTCAGGGGCGAATCCCCCCCAAAATGGTTAGCTTCGGACCATTTCCCCATTTCCCAGAGGTTGTCTCTGGCCAAGCGGCAACAATTCACCAGAGTTCTGTTAATTTAATATTATTACTTTTCATTACAACCAAGGCGGCCTTCGTCTCTTTCCCCCCTAAATGCTTGCAACAAAATGCTGTTAGTTTTTTTTATTTATATGTTTTTTGGTGGGGCAATGGGAATGGCAATGCTGCCCTTAAATGTCAACACATTAATGCGAAAAGAGACGGACGCCTTGAGATAAATCAGCATTTATCTGCGGCCATTTCTGACAATTGAAAATGACCGTCTATATCTTTTGGCTAATTACGGCCTATTAAAAGCCCTAAATGTATTTTTGGCAAAAAGCCCATATTTATCAATGTTGAAAGGAAAACCAATGTTGGAATGTAAATGGACATTCTTGAGAATGAAAATGGTTTCGAATTTTTGAAAAGCTGCAGAAAGAAAGATGAAATAAATCAAAACACTTATTATTTATTTAAGAATATATCAACTAAATGTTAAAGTTTGTTACTTATAAAATACTTTACTAGACTTTTAAATAAACAATTAAATGTTACTTTTACCAATACTTTGCTAAGTCTACGAACCTTAAAAACTTTAAACATTTTATGCAAATGCCATGCACTTTGCTTTTAACTGTCTCAGGGAGAATATTGTTTTTTTTTCGACTACTTTTACTGGCCACTTTAATTAGAAAAAATGTTAATTTAATGCTTGGCTGAACTCGTAGTTAAAGGGGTCGGGGTTGAATTGGCGTGTTTTTCGGTGAATTTGTCACTCGTTCATTTGGTTTTTACTGCTGCCTTCTGACGCTGGAAAGTATGCCACAGTATGAACGACCATGAATACTCATACACAGATAGCTACACTCACAACACGATGACAATTGTTTGCCCATATGTCCCAGTCATATTTTCGACAAGCCGCAAAAAGCAAAAAAAAGAAAAAAGAAAAAAAAAAAATATGCAAGAGTCCAGGAAAAAGTGAACATTTTGCCGCGAACACTTTTCATGTAAATGGCGAAAAATAAAAGTTTGCCGGCCGAGTGTGTGCTAAATGATTCATGAGTCATGTGTGGACCGCTCGTAGAGATTGAAGACTGTGGACGAGAGAACTATATGTTTGCCCTGGGCAGAAAAGTGCTTAACTCGTAATTTTTGTTAGCGTTACGTGCAAATAAGGCCACTGAGGCCGCGCTTTTCCCTTTTTCTCCTTCTCTCTTTTTTCCCTAGCTCACTGGGCTTTCTCTTGCTGGCTTTCTCCTATTCTCCCACAGCAACAATTTGAGTGCATTTTATTGTACTAGTCTGTATGTGTGTGTGTGTGTGAGGGGTGGCGCATGAATATTGCAGCTGATGAGCCCCTGAGCAACGGCAAAAAAGGGTCAAAACTTTTAATTAATGTTTATGGCTGCACTGCGGTAGCCAGTGACTCGCAAGCCTTTTAAGTTCAAATTTATGAAAACATTTTTTTTCCCTCCGGCTCGTTTTCCATCTTTGTCTTGGCTTCGGCCTAAGATCCTAGAAAATTTAATTAATATTTTTTAAAGAAAAATTTGGAGAAATGCCTCCATGTACAAATATGAGTCAAGGCAATCTAATCGATTTGGAGAGTTTGAGGTGAATAAATGAAATATTCAAGGCATACTTTTCGGGGGTGCTGAGTGTGGCGTAAAAAAGGAAAGTTTTCCTTCAATTACTAATTACAGTAATGTCATGTGATTAAACTTTAAATTATTAATAATATATGCGGGGAAACTACACTTGAATATATATATTTTCGTAATAAAAAAGTTTAAATATAATAACTT